CGAGGAGCGTTCATGTCGACGGCGGAGGCGTAGTCTGCGTCGACACGAATGGTTGATTCCTTTTGCATAGGGGTCTGCGAGGCTGGGCCACCCGCACGACTCTACAGTCATCGCGAGATGTATTGCCGCCAGAAGAGGACGATTGTAAGTACCCCTCGAATTTGATCACAAGGGACTCAACCGTAGTCCCTGTAGCAACTTCGTCAAACTGCGCCACCACCAATTCATCTGAATGAACGGAAACTCCCACTGTGGTCACCATCTTTTGTAGGTGTAAATTTTGATCTCCCAAAAACAGGGAACTTCGTTTGTATTGATAATAACAGCTTATTACAAACTAATAATCAAATGTTTACAACAGAAACAGAGGGAATGCCCTCCTTGTTTAACGTGGGTTCCTCGGTGGCGATAGGACGCCTCGCTCGGTGCTCGTGCCGAGTCTGCTTCCCTTGGACGATCCGATCAAAGTTGCTGCCGGAGCTTCAGTTCTCAAATGAGGGAGCCTTCGGCAAAAGTCCAGGTTCAACCTTTGGGAGATTAGCTAGCAGAATATGCAACAGCCAATCCCCTTTTTATGCTGGCTGAAGATGTGTTTTAATAGGCAAGGGATGGCATGGGTCATCCCTTGATTCATGGGATTTGACCACTAATAGAGGTGAGCGAGCCAGCCGCCCTAGCTGTGGGATGTGACCACTTAGGGGGTCCTGTCAGCCACCCTAACTATGGGATGTGACCACTTAGGGGGTCCTATCAGCCGCCCTATTCTTGCTAGGTGAGGAGCGTCATGCTTTCTCCCTTGATTTGTGGGATTTGACCACTGATGTAACTGTTCCCATACTCCAAGTGGGCAGTTGACAGTGAGCTGGCGAGTCTGCAGCTTGGGTCTGCAGGCGAGCTTGGGACTGCAGGCAGACTTGGGTCTGCAGGCGAGCTTGCAGGCGAACTGGGTCTGCAGGCGAGTTTGGGACTGCAGGCAGACTTGGGTCTTGATCGTGCAGGCGAAATTCGAGCTGTAGGCGAGCTCCTGAGCATGGATCGAAGAATAGGTCGTAACTTTCAAACCGTAAGTCGGAATTGGACGAATTATATATGAAAATCGCCTATCTCGACGAGATGGAGCCATCCAAACCTAGCCGAAGGCTTCAGTTCGCTTTCTCCGTTTCGTCAAATTCCTTACGGTTTGGGAGATATCTGCGTTTTCCCCTTTTTATCAGTGTTTTCCCCCCTTTTTGCTATTTCGGGCGAGGTTTTAGCAGTTTTGTTCTGAACTTCTCCGATAAGGATTTAAAAGCAATTTTTATTGCCTACATCCTCTACCATGCGTTCTATCATGTCCTCTCATGGGACTATCTTTCAACAGTCATGTCCCTACACTCATGAGTAAAATGGTGTTGCTGAACGCAAACATCGTCATATCCTCGATACTGCTCGATCAATGCTCATTTCTTACTCTGTTCCTCGTCATTTTTGGGTTGAGGCTATTCTCACCGCGACTCAAGCCATTAATATCACTCCATCTAGCTCTCTTTTCGGTGCTACTCCTTATAGTCGTGTTTATACTCATCCTCCCCATTATGATCTAGTTCGCGTTTTTGGTTGTCGATGTTTTGTTCTTCTGCCATCTCACGAACGTGATAAATTGTCTCCCAGAGCTGTTTCTTGTGTTTATTTAGGAATTAGTTCAGAACATCGAGGTTATCGTTGTTATGATCCAGCAACTCATCGAGTTCATATATCTCGTCATGTTCAGTCCGAAGAGGATTCTTCATATTATTCTGCTTCTGATAACTTTAATTTCCTCCACTCTACTGATCATGCTTCCCCGTCAACTGCATCACCCACTTCTTCACCTCAATTTTCCTTTCGAGATCTCCCTAATATCTCTCCCTCTCCTTCTGTTGACTCTTCCTCACCCGAGTCTTCTCTTACACCATCTAATCCATATCCCGTGGACACAACTCTCACTACAGAAAATACTGTTGATCTCCACGCACCTGCGCCAGCATCTCCCCCGCCTGAGGTTCCTCTTGCTCTTTGATCATCGAGGCAAACGCCCACATGTCATGCCTGCCCGATATGCTTCTGTTACTTCTTATTCACCTATCTTTCATAACTTTCTTGCTGCAATTCATACTATTGTTGAGCCAAAGTCCTTCCAAGAGGCATTTCAAATTCCAGAGTGGCGACAGGCTATGGCTGAGGAATTTCAAGCCTTTCAGCAAACTCATACCTGGGATGTTGTTCCCTGTCCTCCTGGGATCTCTCTTGTTGGCAGTAAATGGGTTTATAAGGTCAAGTTTCGTCCTGATGGCACCATTGAACGTCGAAAAGCTCGTTTAGTGGCTAGAGGTTTTACTCAGCAACAAGGTATTGATTATGAGGAGACATTTGCTCCTGTTGCTCAGATGCCCACTATTCGTACTCTCCTTTCGGTCGCTGCTACTCATCGCTGGCCCTTATACCAGATGGATGTCAAAAATGCTTTTCTTCATGGCTCTTTATCAGAGACCGTATATATGCAACCGCCTCCAGGGTCAAATATTCCTCTGGGACATGTATGTCTCCTTCGCCGTGCTGTTTATGGTCTCAAGCAGGCACCCCACTCTTGGTTTGAGTATTTTCGCGATGTCGTGCTCAAAGCGGGCTTTATAGAAAGTCATCAAGATGCTTCTCTGTTTGTTCGCACTACATCGCGTGGCAGGGTTTTATTACTCATCTATGTAGATGATATGATCATTACAGGTGATGATATGATAGGTATACAATACGCAAAATCTCAGTTGCAACAACAGTTCCACATGAAGGATCTTGGATCTCTTCGGTATTTCCTTGGTCTAGAAATTTCTCAAGGCCCGCGGGGTGTATTACTGTCTCAACAGAAGTATCTCTCAGATATTCTAAATCAAGCTGAGTTAACTGATAATACAACTGTCGATACTCCACTCCAGCAGAATGTCAAACTTTGCTCTACTGACGGTGAGCCTCTATCTGATCCTACCCGATATCGACATCTTGTTGGTCAGTTGGTCTATTTGTGCATCTCTCGACCAGATATCTCTCATGCTGTTGGTATTGTCAGTCAATTTGTTAGTGCCCCACGTTCTGTACACTATGCTGTCTTATTACGGATTCTTCGGTACCTCCGGGGTACTAGCACTCGCTCACTTTTGTTTCCTGCTACATCTAAGTTAGAGCTTTGTGCATATTCTGATGCTGATTGGGCTGGTGATCCAACTACCAGAAAGTCTACCACAGGTTATTGCATATTTCTTGGTGATTCCCTTATTTCCTGGCGAAGGAAGAAACAAGATGTTATTGCTCTTTCCAGTACTGAGGCAGAGTATCGTGCAATGTCCACAACAGCTAAAGAGATTATTCATCTTCGTCACATTCTCAGTGATTTCGGCATTTCTGTTACGACTCCTACTCCTCTCTACTGTGATAATAAGAGTGCCATCCAGATTGCTAATAATCCAGTATTTTATGAAAGGACCAAACATATTGAGATCGACGCTTATTTTGTCCGTCACCAAGTTATCAAAGACAAGACAATTCTACTTCCTCATGTTTCATCCGCTGACGAGCTTGCAGATTTCTTTACAAAGGCCTTACCTGTTCATCGGTTCCAGTTTCTTGTACGCAAACTCACTTTGTTTGATCCAACATGAGTTTGAAGGGGGCTGTTGATAATAGTGTATTGTAGTGGGTTTTAGTCCCACATTGCTTGGGAGAACAAACCTCACACTCCTCTACTTGTATAAATATATGTGCATACTCAATATTCAATTCAAGGGGAAATTTACCCAAGATTCTCTCTCTCTTACTTTAACAAAAAATAATTCAAAGTAATTGCGCTTTAATTTGTGTTTAATAGTGCAAGTGTAGTGTAGACAATGCAGTATAGTTAAAAGAACAATTTTTCAAAACCGGCTGATTTTTTTTTTCAAAATCGACTGTTTTTTTTATTTATCAAAATCGACCCGGTTTTGTGATTAGCAGGCTAATCACTATCCTAAATAGTCGGGGTTGGCAACCCCGACTATTTAGGATAGTGATTAGCCTGCTAATCACCCTTTAATTAGGGTTTAACACCCTCCTAAATAGTCGGGGTTGGCAACCCCGACTATTTAGGATAGTGATTAACCTGCTAATCACAAAACCGGGTCGATTTTGATAAAAAAAAAAACGGTCGATTTTGAAAAAAAAAAAAAAAAATTCGGTCGGTTTTGAAAAATTGTTCTAGTTAAAATTGTTCTTTTGAAATTCGTTTTTATGGAATGTCTGATACGGATTGTCCCAATATGAAAAAAGACGTGTGTAATTTAGTTAAAGAATATTTTTGATAAACTCCTTTACTTTAGGGTTATTTAGTATTGGTCCTTCAGATCTTCAATAATCTCGTATTAGTCCCTCAATTCTCTCTCATAAGTTCCTCAATGATCAAAATACCCCTCAAGTAACATTTTCTTGAAGGGTAATTTTCATTTAACCCCCTAAATTTTGGGTGTTTTGCATATGACCTCTCTAAAGGTCGTTTATTCTACCTAACATCCTTGAAATTTGGGTCGTCACTTGACCTCTTGAGCTTTGAAGCTCTCACAACGTGCCCTAGAACGTTATTACTTGATGATAATGAAATGAACAATTATTAAAAAAGATAAAGGAGTGAGTTTTAATAAATTGAGAGACATTTTCGGCCTTTGTTGTCGCGCGCTTGGCATGTGACCCGTCAAAACTTTATACCAAAAACTTTATAAACATAATGCAAGGGAAAACCACCCTAAGGCCAAGAGGCTAACTGAAATTTACACTTTCCTGGAGACGGAAATTTTGATTGGGGACACCCAGCAAGGGGTAATTTGGCCGTGGGACCAAATTGCAAGAGCCCACAAGATTTGAGGGACTTGTGAGCAATTTTGAAGTTTTGAGGGGCTGTGAAATCATTGAAGATTTGAGGGGCTGGTATCTGACCGCTTTAATTGAGAGAGAGAGGAGAGAGAGAGGAGAGCGAGCCAGCGAAGCGAACGGGCGGCGGGGGAGGAAGAGGTGAGAATGGATGATCGCCGTCGAACTCAATGCCGACGTCAAGTACAGAAGGTAGATCCCAACACCCTAACTCCCTTTCCGACTCGATTAAACGCTAGAACAAAATTTTCAAAATTTAACAGTAAATGTTAGAATTTACAGAACATTACACCAAAAACATTGAAAATTTGACGTTAAATCTCTAACCCCCCAAAAAACCGACCATATTGACAAGCCTCTCTCTTGCTCGTAATTTCCCCTGTTATTAGAGGAAATTAGATACCAACTTTCTTAATGGGGACAATAATTTTTCTTTTACTATTGTTGATTGTGGCATGTCTTGAACTTGTAATCACACTATCAAAAGTCATATTCTAAAAATTTGAAACAAACAAAAATATTACAAGTTATAGTATTCCAAATCCCAAAATATTGATGAAACAAACAAAGTTTTAGGAATCCCAACCCATAACAAATTACCTATGGATTTTAAATTCCATGGTGAAATCCATATCCTAAAATTATAGGATTTGAAACAAACACCCCCTAAGTTTCTCTAAGTTGGTGCCTATTAGGGGTGGGAAATAGGTCCTCACCCATGTTACATCGACACTTCTGTC